AGAAATTGCAAGTAGATAAATAGGCACCGCTTTGTTGGGGAGGTAACAGCGTTCTGTGCACCTCCAAATTGAAGGCTCAGAACCTGGATACCCCACTAGCAATTCACTTTAAACAGTTTAATCATTGTTATGATAGCTTTCAATATGTTGTATTAGAAATTGTACAGAGAACTCCTGGAGAAAGGACTGACTTAAGAAGACGCCTCTTACAGCGAGAGATGTTTTGGATTCACCGGTTGAACAGTGTATTTCCTAATGGACTGAATGCAGAAATTGACCTTTCATGTTTTTTGTAAACCATATGATGTTTTTTGTAAACTATATTACGTTTGTGTAAACTACATGAGGTTTCCTTTAAAGTGTACTGCCTCCCACTACCCACCACCTGTTAGCAATTTGCAAGGTCCCTTTAATTGCCCTCTGGTAACATGCACCAGAGAGAGATGCCGAGGATCCAGAAAAAAACACAGAGTGTTAATTGAGATCAGCGTCCTACTGAATCGTGATGTGAGTTATTACTAGGCTGATTAGTTGTAATTTGAAAAATGGGAGAAAAGGCAAAGGTAAGTAGGCACTAGTAAACGTAAGAAACAAAATTGTGGCTATACTTTAGTATACTTTAGTCAATGCCACTAAAAGAGGCATGATGAGGCAAAGAGCATTTTGTATCCATACTGTCTTTCCTACATTCCGTGTATTTCCTGCACTCCGTACCCATACTGTCTTTCCTGCACTCCATCTTTCCTGCATTCCATACTGTTTTTCCTGCACTCCGTGCAGCATAGGATGAATGCTTCCAATACGTGAATGGGTACTAGAGGGAATCAATCCATGCACAAGTACCACATGCATTTTGAGTGTGTATGACTGTTGATTGCGGGTCAGACTAACACGACTGTTGACCTTATATTTATTTATCTGACTTTGAAGTAATACCATTCACTGCCGATCTAGCATACTGAAATAAAGGCTCCAAGGAGCAGATGAAAATGGAGTAAGAAGGATAAAACAGGGCTTGAGATTGGAATAAATCTCTGCAGCACATATTCTCACCCAATGTGCAAAACCTTTTCCATATTTACTGCTCTCAAGAAATCAGCCAAAAGTTTATATCTCCTTTTTCTTCCTGCTTTAGAATGCTCAGGGCCACTTCACACGACATACAGCCTTCAGTAAACTGCATTCACTAAAGTAACACTTGCTTATTATTTCAGTTTCATGCAGTACAAGTTTACCTGAAGAAGAACTACCAACATCCTTTGGTAAAAACCAGATGTGTCTGATGTTATGTGATCTTCTAAGCTGGCTTCATATTCTGCAATGAAGAAATATACATCCATCACTTAACAAAATTTCAGCTACTTCAGAGTTGAAGATACTCAACTAACCAGAGTAACTACTATCGAATAGTTACCCTTACTCAACACAGTCATATTGTAATTCAGAAGGAAAAAAGTATTTCTGTCTGTACACGGCACATAAGGAGAAAATGGGAAAAGAGGTTGATGGGTGTACAATCTTGTTTTAAGACAGGTTTGATCCTGTTGTTCCCTCCTGTGGGAGAAAAAACTCCTTCCTGAACAATACTAATGATATTGGCATGACACTGAGATACTGTTAAATATACAAGTAGCTATAAAGTGGGTTTCAGAGGACCAAAAAAAACGTGATGCATAGGTAGATCTGTAAGCAGTTAAAAAATATGATTCAAGTAAGTGGTATGTTCCCCTTCCATTTACTGTTAAAATCTTTTCTCTGATTTCATTTGCTCAACAAGAGAAGTGTCTGAGAGACCTAATGCAATTATATTATGCAACACACAAGATTATGTACAGGATCTACACAGGAACACAAAAGCTTTCAATGCTCTTCACTCAGTAAGCATTACATTGATGCTATATTGTGGCTGCGGTCACACGGAGTATTAGCCATGCTACAGAGACGGAAGATAGGTGGATTTTCCGGATGTGATCACAGCGTCACATCTGGAAAGCGTAGAGCTCCTGTGGTGAACCCGAGGCTTCCCGCCGAAGATGCGGGG